GAACCGTCGGCGATCGACACCTTCTTCGACAGCGGCTGGTTGCCGAGGAATGTGTGCAGACGATACTTCAATCATGCCTGCAAGATCACCAAGTACCGAACTATCGACGGCAGCTGCAATCGACCGAGAAGATGGGGTGCCAGTATGACGCCTTTTCGAAGAGTTCTACCACCCGATTACGCCGATGGAATTGAATCGCCTCGAAAGTCACGTTCTGGAAAAGAATTGCCATCTGCCAGGGAAGTCAGTCTAAAGGTGCATAAGCCTTCGGCCAGCAGCAATCCCTCCTTCACGGTGATGCTGGCGGTGTTCGGTCAATTCTTGGATCACGACATCACTGCAACCGCGCTCAGTCAGGGTGTCAACGGAAGTTCGATAGCGTGCTGTTTATTAAGAAAACCGCATCCTGAGTGCTTTCCCGTGCGACTGGGAGCCGGCGATCCTGCACACGATTTGACTGGTAAAACCTGCATGGACTTTGTGAGATCAGCTCCGGCTCCGCAATGCAAACTTGGTCCCAGAGAACAGCTCAATCAGGTAATTCAAGTAATCCGTTTACAACGTAATGCGAATGGCATCTTAGAATTTATGAAACTGGAAGATTTCTGTCGAGTATAGATTCGAAAGCAATTCGAATCGCCAAAGATCAAGAATGGAAAAAGATTTTGCGGATAATATTGCAGGTCAGCGCTTTCATCGATGGTTCGGCTATTTACGGCTCCGATGACGAGACTGCCCGCGATCTGCGCGAATTCACCGGTGGTCGTTTGAGGATGCAGCTCACTTCCGATAATAGGACTCTGCTACCGCCGAGCACGAACCCCAATGACGGATGTAATCGGGAAGCTGAACGACGTCGTGGCCGCTATTGCTTCGCTGCAGGTGACGCCAGGGCTAACGAGAACCTACACCTCACCACTATGCACCTTCTTTGGGCGCGGCAACACAACAGAATCGCGAACGAATTGGCCATGGTGAATCCCGCTTGGAGCGACGAGACGCTTTATCAGGAAACGCGACGTATCGTCGGTGCCCAGTTACAGCACATCACTTATCGTGAATTTCTGCCTATTATCTTGGGCGATGAGAAGATGAACGATTTGAAGCCTCTCGTATTGGGCTACAAGAAGCGAACGTACGATCCAGACACATTGGAGAAGTACGACCCGACGATAGCTAATAACTTCGCGGCCGCAGCCTTCCGTTTCGCTCACACCTTACTACCAGGGCTGATGAGAATGACGGACGCCGAGAAGGACACGTCGTCCTATGTGGAGCTGCACAAGATGCTCTTTAATCCGTACAGTCTCTACACCGAGGATGGTATTAGACGTTCGGTTATCTCGGCCACGACCAATGTTATTCAAAGATACTCCACGCACTTAAGTTCACAACTGACCAGTCATCTTTTTGAAGATCCCATGGCCAATTCCACGACATCATGCGGTCTCGATCTGGTATCATTGAACATCCAACGAGGACGAGATCACGGATTACCGGGATACATCGTTTGGAGGGAATATTGCGGATTAGGAAAAGTGAAATCGTTTGATGATCTTGAGGGCCACTTGGATCGTCAAGCTCTGGAACAGATATCGATGCTCTATGAGACTGTCGACGATGTAGATTTGTATACTGGTGCGTTAGCAGAAATACCGGAGTCTGATAGCTTGATCGGACCCACGTTCACGTGCCTGATCCTCGAACAGTTCACGCGTTTGCAAAGAGGAGACCGTTTCTGGTACGAGCTTGCCGAACAACCATATCCCTTCACGGAAGGTACGATACATTTTATTAAGTTTATAATAATAAAATTTGTCTTAAAAAATAAATTAACAAATAATGAAACTTTGAGGGAAATTGATTACCGGCTCTTTAAATTTTGCAAAAAATTTAGCATTTATATGTTTACTAAAGTTCCTATTCTATCTTTTGCTTATGAAATTTTAGATTTGAGAATAAAATTCTAGACTTTAAAAAACTCTAATGTGACTATTTTGCATGTGACTATTTTGTGACTATTTTGCATGTAGTTTTATTTCTAAATTAAATTAATAATTAATAATTAATTTTTAAAATCCAATCTATTATTTCAAAAAACAATTTCAAATACAATTTAAAAATATGATATTATCATCTCTCTATATAACAAGTTTATGTCAAAATTTTTAATATTAAGTATTAAGTGGAAAACGCAATAAGAATAGTATAAAATTTCAGATCAGCTTGTGGAGATACGCAAAAGTTCACTGGCGAAATTAATATGCGATTGTTCTAATGGAATCACACATGCTCAGATGAAAGTTATGCGATCTGTTGGTCTTGATAATCCTATGATATCTTGCGAAGATATACCAGGTCCTTCCTTCGCACTATGGAAAAAAAATCACATTTCCAATTCAACATCATCATAGCGCTTAAAACTTTAGAAATAAATCATATGCATATACAAAGTATATCTCAAAATCATTGGATATATTTTTGATGAAAATTTCAATGATCAATCTTGAAAGAGAATCTTTTTTTAACTATTAAAAAAGTAATTGTCTAATTAAATTTTGGAAAGAAAGCTATATTCTTCAATTAATTTTAAAAATTTTAATAAAAATTTAATTACGAACGTACATACAAAGAAGCATATAATGTAAAAGATTAAAACATTGGCATCTTTGCTAAAAAAAAAAATTAATTTCCAATTGATTTAAAAATTTACTTTTAAAAACAATTTTCGAGATATTTTGTATATAAGTTTTCTAATAAACTAATTGTTAAGTCACTAGACAATAGCGCAAGAAATAGAGAATTTCATTTATATTTTTATTTATATATGCGTGTGCTGTTTCTTTTTTTATATTAGATACGTTTTATATACGTTCAATATTTATGATCAGATATCTCACGGAATGATTTCAATTATTTTGCTTAATTAAGTTCCATGAATTTTTTATCTGCTAGAATATGAGTACGCGCTTTACACGCACTTGTTCTCTGACATTTTTTAATTTTTAATTTTCGCTATTTTTTTAATTGATTCATAGATTTATCAAATATTATCACTTATTTTTAAAAAAAGATTATAATGAGAATATTTCTAGTAAAACAATTTTGAATACATCCAAAAGGAAAAAAATAAGTGTTTGTCGATGTTGATGAGAAACAAATACTAAAATATTTAAATACTTACAATTAATATTATTACACTATTATTTTAATATCCTTCTCGACTATACATAACTCTCAAAATACGTGATTTCTATAATAATAATGGCTGTTCATGAAACAAACATAGAACAAATTAATCAACATCACTAATCAATATCATGAAAAAAATTATAATATTTTAATTTTATCTGAGATTTTTATGTTTGCTTTTTTTTAAAAAAATATTGTTTTTTTCAACAATTATAGAATGAATATTATCAACAAAATAATTTAAAATTACGTTAAAGCAGAATAAATTTTATATTAATAGGCTAAAATTAAAATTAATAGAATAAAGCACTAATTAACATCAATTGATTTTATGTATATATTAACATTAACACTTTGTAATCCATATATTTATAAATAAAAGATTATTCAATTTTGCATAAAAAATATACACAATATATATTATATAAAATACGCTTCTTTGGTTTAT